ATGCAATTATCATCAGTCTGGTGAATATTATCCATACAATATTATCAGCTAATATCTGCATATCAATAATTCAAATGTAATTCAACTCGTCGTCATCTGCAATCGTTTATTAAGGTCACTTCTTCGATATGCTATCAAACGACTGAACATTATTTCTTTTAAGAATATATATTAAAGTTTTAGGTGGTTATCAGTCGTATACGTCGGCTAATCATTATTTTATCGTTCTATCGTGAATAAAAAATATCGATGATCTTAATAATAATTGGCATATAGATAATTGGTGGTACATTAAATAATTGGCATATTGGTGGTATATTAAATATACATAAACAATTATCAATAACAATTAATACTGCATCAATAATTCATCAACGGTACTGTTTTGTATTTGGATTCATTTGTCTTTTTGTCGTTTGTGGATTAGGCTTGCATGCTTGCTTGTTTTACTGTTGTGATGGCGTATATTGCTTCTTGAAACAGTCACGAGAAGGAAGGGCTCTTGGAGTTTTTTTTTTGACCATTTGAAGTGAGTGGCCATGCCGTAAATTTTGGAAATAGCAAACGTGAACATGCTTCGAGAACAGGGAACGAAATACTTCTGAGATGAAGAACTGTAAATTTTTGAGAAGTTGTCAAAATTCTAGCCATAGTAAAATCACGTTGAACGCATAATAATAATAATAAAACATCTAGCTTTTATGATCACTGGCAGTTTTCTTCGAGCTGATCTGTCTTTATATTGTAACGTGTTTTTGGCATGTTCATCAGAGGTCGAGGCTGATTGCATTCAAAAAATTGTTTGTTTGTTTGTCAAAAATTGTCTTACACGATTATGAACGAATTATTTCTGGCAATTATTAGTGGTAAAGTTAATTAATTAGTGTTTGGTGTTGGCTACATAGATTGATAGGTATCATCTGTAAAATGATCAATATTCATTCGGTTTCGTTTAATATCGATCCCCTTAATCATGGTCAAGTTGCAGTCAACAACAACACGATATGTTGCCAGATTATGAAACCTATTTGTTCATATTATTGTAATAGCAGTTGATGAATAGAAAGATGTATAGGTGAGTGGTGGCTGTAAATTATTTAGAAATGCAATCAATCGGTGGTTATGGTATTGAGAATGTGCTGATGGGAAAGGATATAGAGCTGGGAATGTGCTGATGGGAAAGGATATAGAGCTGTTTTATCGTCATAACGATCAGACACAATTTTAGAGGTGAAATGCACGTGATCGATGTCAAATGATATCTGATTTGGTGCAGATGCGATTCATGCGTCTGTTCACGTGTGCATTATATAATTCTCATAATGGTCATGTGGTTAATTAAGTGATGCATAGATACTTACCTGAAGATGTCATATCGGATTTATTTTATTGCACATATATACTATTATATGGAAAATAGAATCTTTTCACGCCATAATTACTTTTATTAGTACTCTTATTATTAATTCATTATTAATATCATATGGAAAGTGATTTAGATGTAATTGAGACGTGTTAGTTTAAAGAATATTGTATGATCATTAAGAGATTCGTGGGTATGTGATGAGTGAATTTGCTAAACTGGGAATGATTTATTACTTCGAAAGGACATAACAGTGAACACTAGCAGTAGCTGCGTGACTGATCAGAGGTCGTTTTTTATCGTGTTTTAGTTGTTTGCTGCTTGGTGACGTCGCATTAAGTGGAATGTGATTCTTGATTTCGTTATAAATTCTCATTTAACAAATACTATTCCAAGGAGCATCATATATGTGTAAAATCGGAGTCATAAATGATTTATAGGTTCGGTTTTAGGTTAAGATAGATTATGAAGTTGGATAAAGTTAGTAATATTATTATTGAGTTAAGATAGATTATGAAGTTGGATAAAGTTAGTAATATTATTACTGAGTTAAGATAGAGTTAGATAAGCAGAATTTTGAATGGTGAATGGCGAATGTTCGAGATTTGAATCAGTTTATATGATAATATTGACTGACGGTTCAGCTGCATTATTTTAGTGATAAAAGGGATGGTATTATTATTGGTTATATTATAATGCGTCTCGTTATTAGTAGTATTGGTGCATGAGTCTGTTATGTGCGATCATGCAAAGGATACGGCCTACCTGCCTTCTTAATTTGCCATTATTATCTGTTTTTTGAGATATATTAATGTAGGAGTGAAGTGAGTGGGATGGGTTCATGAAAATTAGTGCGTTGTTCGATGGTTATTTAAGTGGGTAGGAGTAGGGAATGACGGCCATTCAGTGTTATCTGTTTGCAGTTACGTTTAGCGATAGCGATAGGATAGGGTACTGTGATACTGTGATTATTCATTGTGATGCAGTACTTTGTAAAGTATTACTTGAGAAGTTTATTTAGTATAAGATTTTAGTGATTATTTAGTGTTATTAATGTTGTTTGAGTTTGAACAAACGAACTGTTCGGAATGATAAATTTAGGTTTAGAAGATATCAATCATCTAGTGACGACTGAATTCAGTAGAAGTTATGACTTATTCGTGTTAAGACTCGTTCAGTTCAGAGTTGTGTTCGTTTGGATTTGATTGGTTGGTAGGCTGAAAGGCTTCATTTGTTTGAGGTGTTGCTGGTTGAGGAGCAGTGCTTTTCGAGTTGGTAACATAATCAAGCAACGTCTTGGATTGGTTTTTGAATTTGATTTTATCACTGAGTTGGTCGCTAATCGAAAGCAGTCATGACGACGGCAGCTATCAAACGTATTTTCATGTGTAGACCGACATTTTTTAAAGTATGTTTTTTGAGTATTTTAAAGTATATTTTGAGTATTATTGTTCTGTTTGTAAAGTATTTTAGTATTATTCATGTCAGTTGTTTTTTTAACTTTAGTATTGATTCAAGAGAACGAACTAAATATCTATAAGGGGAATGTACATTTCTTTAATTCAAGCATTCAAGTATGAACGTGATCGTTATCATTTCGATAAGATAACAAATTGAATCTGATTATAATTCCCAAAAAAATAGACAAATTGCATAGAACTGGTTCCAGTTTTTGAGACTTTGATACCCATTTTATTACGTAATGATCTTTTGATCTGGCTACGTGATGTGATAATAATAATAATAATAATAATAATAATTAATAATAATATAATAATAATAATAATAATAGTGATAATAATAATAATGACATTAATAGTAGTTTTGATAGAGATATCATGCGTAGTCTAATATATAATAAATATGATTTTAGGTAAGCTATTCGATAAATCTTTGGATGAATATTGCAAATGCAGTAAAAGAAGATTTGGCGATGAAAGAATGGAATGCGTTGAAGAGTGCGATTGAGAAGGCGGGGGCACAAGTTGAGGTGCTTGAGCCTGAGGTAGGACTTTTATGAATGTTGGTGCGCATTAGATTGGTTCATTTGAGTGGATCAATCAATCAGTGAATCGATAGCAGATCAGATCACTTCTGATTCGGTTCAAGTTTAGGTTCACGTTCAGGTGTTCTAGTGGGTTAATAATTGTGTAATGGTTTGAAGGGTGCTGACCGCTATCCGGATATTGTTTTCACGGCCAATGCGGCCGTAATTCGTAAGAAGAAAGCCTATTTGGCTAACTTCTACTATCCAGAACGTCAAGGTGAACGTCATTTCTATGAGAAATGGTTGAAAACGCATGGTTATGAGACAGTTGGAAATCGAGAAATACCATTTGAAGGTGGGTAGTACGGTACTTATAGAGCTAGGGTTATGTCTAAGCTGATGCTGCCTCTCGACTATACGTCGGGCTGTTGCGTAGCATATTTATTTGTAATATAGAACGCATTCGTGTTTATAAACTTATAATGAATTATTAAAAATGCATTTTTAAATAAAATACAGACAGCACTGTGAATGAATAATGGTTATGTGTAGTTTAGCGTAGTGACATTAATGTAAAAATAGATTTGACTCGAGTTTGCCTTAAGTGACCTCAACTCCTCTGGTCGAATCAATTAGCGACATAAGTAGTACTAATTCAAATAGTAATGATAATATTGATTGCAGGAGCTGGTGACGCGTTATGGGGTGGTTGTGGCAGGAACGTACTGTTCGTTGGTGTGGGGCCGAGGACCGATGTGAGGGCGTTGGATGATGTGGCTGAAAAATTGGACGATGGCTCGAATTTTAAAGTTTTAGGCTGTAGATTAGTTGATCCAAGGTGCGTTCGTTTTGTTCTAGTTGCTGCAGCAGCAGCAGCAGCAGCAGGCCGCTGTGGTGCTCTCGTATCATTATGATAACTTACGAATTAATGATGTTAGTTTAAAGGCGATTATAAAGTTTAGACGATATATTTTTGTTGTACGGTTCGGTTTGGTTCGCATCGATATAAGCGAAGAAAATTTTGGTGAATTCATTGTTGATTTGTTATGGAATGATATTATGATTTGAGCGGATATCATTAAAATAATCTGAAACAATTGTGATATGTTGTGCAAGAATTATAGTGCGCAATTTTTTAGATTCTATCATATCGATACATGTTTTTGCCCGTTACAAGATGGGTTAGCGATGTTTTATCCGTACGCATTCGATGCAGTCACTCGCCATAATATGGCCAATGAAACTGACCTTATTGCAGTTAGTTGATTATCGTTATTATTCGAGTGAATCGGATTGGATCGGATGAGTTTATGAAATAAATGGTTGTAGGTACCCGAAGAGGATGCAGCGCAGTTTGCGTGTAATTCAGTGGTGATCGATAAAACAGTGATAATGCATAAGTGTAGTGAAAAAACGATTGATCTGTTGGGCAAGCATGGTTTTGAAGTGAAGTAAGTTGATTTTTTAGTGATTTGAGAGTGAGATTAGCTGCATTCAATCCGTGACTTGTTAAAGCTTCCTTCTTGAATCGATCGCATTGTGTTCTGGGTGAAGCAATCGGAAAAGTATTTGTGGCCAAGTTTAACGTTTAGACTAGTTGCGGTTCAACTTAAGACGGATAGTCTGCAGCTTTCTATATTTAGGCTTCATATTTCCATTGAAGAGTCTTTGTAATTGTTGTTTCAACGTTTGAAGCTTGTTGCTTGGGAATTTGGCATTTATTATGTTGTGAATGATATTGTTGTCGTTAGAATGAATCATGTTGTAATTAACGTTTTAGGTTTAATGATATGTCTGAGTTTCTGAAGAGTGGTGGTTCTGCCAAGTGCTGTACACTGGAATTGTAATAGGAAACAACGAAAGTTATGAGGTTATGGCTGCTTCAGTGAACATTACAAAGTAATCTTCTGAACGTCATTAAATGTGACTGTACATTGAACAATCGCTTATTGCTATGTATTATTGTTATTTGTAATAAATGTATTTATCTGTTCCTTAAATTATCCGATATTGATATCCTAATGATAAGGGATTACTTGATTTGATATGAAGCACTGAAATGATTGAAACTGCAAGAGTACAATATGATGCTTACGCAGAGAACTGACGATGGATAGACGCTAAGAACGGATTCAGAGATCATATTCAGAGATTAAAATGTTGATGACGAGAATTGTAACGAAAAAACATTTATTTTGAAACGAAAACATTAATTTTATTTCATTTCAGTTGCATACTTAAAATTCTGGAGAGAAAAATAAACTTAATGAAGCATTTAAATGATAATGAATTGCGCTTTTAAACGAGTTTCAATGCGTGATCGAGTAAACAGGTAATAATTTACGAATAAATTAAATATTCTGAAAGTGTCATTTATTGAAATTTGTTAAAGAATAATAGCTAAAGTGACTAAATGGAAGAATGTCAAAGTGAAAAACACTACAATGAGAAAAAATGAAGATGGCAAAGCAATGGAAAATAAGAGATTGACTTGTAGAGATATTGTTGGTGTTGTTTTAGAGCAGAGCATATTGCGTATTGCTTGCGGTAAATTGCTATTGACAACAGACGACGTAAACTGTTAGCAGATTTCAATTATAAGATATAATAATTTTGATCAGTGAGCACAAGAAGCAATCTCATAATAGAACATGTCCTCGATTGATGAATTGGTGAGGAAATTAATAACGAAATCATTGATGGAAGAATGAGTAAATAAATGGATGAATTGATTGCTTGATCAATCGATTGATTCATCGATTTATTGGTTGGTTAGTTGATTGCTCAGAATGATCAATCAAACATCGCCAAAAATTCCGGCAAAGGTGCGCTTCAATTGTCCCATTGTATCGTCTTGATGAGAAGCTGAAGCTGTAGTTGCTGTAGTGGTTTCCTTGTCTTTAATACCAACTTGTCTGTTGAGTTGTTGGGGTTGTTGCTGGGGTTGTTTGGGTTTTGTGGATGGGAATGTGCCAGACGATTGACTACTCTCACGTGAGACTTTCCTTTGTAAAGTACTCGACGAAGACGACGACGACGCCACATCGTGTCCATTCATCATCATTGCATGTGCTCCTGCACTGTTATCTGAAACACTTTTCAATTCTATAAGCAAATTGCGTTCGGCTTTTGGACAGCATATCGAAATTAAGTGTACAGTTTACAGCTTGCTTGCTTGTTTACAGCTACAGTTTACGGATAGATCCTATATGAGCGTCATATATTGATCATTTGATCATATCGCCATCATTATCATCATACAGAGCAATGCTGGTGGTACCGTGTGTATAATAGATTCATAATAGAGCACGAGTATAGATTATCGATTGAACTATTTGATCATTTCATTTCTATAATTGCTCTTTATGACAGTGATCAATTTGATGCGCGTTCTCTGATCATAGAGCACAGAGGTAATCACCTCATGTTGTTTATGTACTATGTAAAATAACTCTCATCAATGTTCATTCATTTAATAGTTTTGTTGCGAGCTGTGCGGTGAGTTTAGCTGGTGATCGATGGGATGGGTGCGTTTTATTTAATTGAAGTGGTTGGGTGATTAGTTGATTGGTAGCAGGCACTCGCTTCATAAGCAATATGATATTCATTCATGAGAATAATAGCCCTGATAATGATAGTTTTCTGGAGGTGATTTTATGTTTATGTTCATGTTATTTAATGGTTTATTTATGATAGTGATGCTGCGAAGAAGAATTGGATATTGTGAATGGATTGATGAATTAATAGATGGAAATTTATACGATAATTTTTATGGATACATTTTAAATTTATATGGATATGGATATTGGATACAGATGGATATATGGATAAGTGGATATTTATATGAATAAATGGATATTTATATGGATTAATGGATATTTATATGGATTAATGGATATTTATATGCATAAATGAATACTTTACATAAATGGATGATAGTTTTATGAAACGAAATGGATGTATGATGACGCATGTGTAAGTGTAGGATTATTTTGTTAGTGAAGTGCTGAATTGAGGTAGTGGCAATTGACTTACTGGTTGCGTTGGGAGTGGTGGTGCTTTGTTGATCTGCAGTAGTGAGAGTTTTCGCTTTTGCGGTGACAGTGGCGGGTCGAGGTGGAGGGGCCGGCAGTTGCACTTGGGCTTGACCGTGCATGTTCATTCCATACTGTTGCGGATGCGACGAATCACCAATGGTTGTCGACCTGGTCAACGTGGATGGTGCAGCTGCTGCTGCTGCTGCTGCTGCAGCTTGTTGCTGTTGTAGAGCATTGTGCCTGCAGCAGCAGGTATTAACTGGATTAGAATTGAGTTCTTTGATTGATCAGACTTTTTAGTTAATTGTTTCGGATCACTCCACTTTTCAGTTGTTTCAAATCACTGATACCATACATAAAATGCCTTTAATGTAGACTTATTCAGCTGATTTATGATGTCAGCTTTAGTGTGTTTGTGAATATGATGATATGGAAAGGGAGGTGCGATCATGAATTGATTTTGACTTTTGGTTGTTAAGGATAGCATTCATTCACTCACCTGGACACCATATGGGCTTGGATAAGATCCGCAATGGCTCGTCTGTCGTCTTCCTGCGAGTCGCCAAGAAATGTAATCACATCGTTTGCGTCGTGTATAATTTCACGACCGTCTTTCGTTACGAGTAGATCTAAACTGAGTATGTCCATGCCGCCGAATGCTTCTGATACCATACACAGCCACTGTCTATGCCTTTAATAGAGTTGCTTTCGCAGAGGAATAGGGTGATATGATATGATAATGGTATGATGTGTGCTTGAATGATATGAGAGTAGTGATAATAGTGAGAGCAGTGATAATGGTATAGAACTGAGATTAAGGTTATCGTTATTGATAAACCAACCAATCACCCACCTACCTGTTTGTAACAGGAATTTGCTCTAGCATTGCTGAGCCAACGTTACTTCGCCAACTGTTTGAGATTCCTTTTCGTATGAACGCTTTCATCTCGGAGCCAATCTTCTGAACATGAGAGTTATTAGCATGAGAGAAATCATTGATGATCAAATAACTTATGTAAATGCTGCTTAAAACGGATCGGATTATTCGATGAAATGAGTTGATCGATTATTGATTGAGTTGATCGATCAGTCAATCAATAGTTACTGACCTGTAGATGAACATCGTATTTGATTTCAACAAAAGGCTCAACGAGCACTTCACCCCCACCAAGTGCTTGAATCGCTCCTTCGAGTTCATTCAAATGATGTTCATCATCGATTTTGATCTGCAACAATCGATTTTGATATGACAGGCAGGCAGGGTCTGTAACTTGTGTCATTGCTTGCTTACTCATGTCAGATGCCAACTGCATTATTGCTTTTATCAACTCATATGTTTACCTTACCTTACCAATTCCATGTGTTCCATTGCCCACACGAACTACCACCGGGAATCTTGAGCATGCATTCTGAAATATAACGGGTTGAGGACAAATGAATAGGTGGGTGCAAGTAAGAAATTAATGGTAACTTACAAAATGTTGGAATGATGGATAATAAGTTTGTTCGAGTAGTGGGAAGATGCCGTGTCCATTGGTTGAGGCGATTTTTTGAAGTTGATGGTACTGAAAGGGGCAGTGCAAAAATTTATGTTAGCAACGAGGATGGTGATGTTAAAGGGGGGGAGGGATCTGAATCAGTTACTTGATTGTAGTGAATATGCGTAATGAGCAGCATTCAGTAGGATTGATCAGAAATGAGAAGTAATAGTGATGAGTTTGGGATGGTGAGATAGATGTAAATTAGTCACTTATTGTTGGACGGATGGATGGATATGTTGATTGCAATATGTTACACTTACCATCCAGTTCTTATTGAGGAATGAATGCACATTTTCGGTTGTATTCAGCGTTTGAACCCCACCACGAAGTAGCGCCCGTGTAATGTTTGTAAAATCACCTTTGTCACTTCGTGGCATCTGCCGGAAGAGCACAAAATCTGGTTGAAATGTCCTCAAATGAGGCAGATTTAATTCGAGTGAGCTCCAGTTCAATTTCTAGCTTTTTTCTCAGACTCATTCTCTACTCTCCTTTTGTAAAGTAAATGTTCTTCTATGCTAGATTAAGTCGTATAGATATAATGATTTGCTTGTTCGTTAATGGGTGAAAGCAGAGCGGAATGGAATAGTAAAGTTTGCAATTAATTAGATGAGAGTGCATTTTGAATAGCTTACTGATACCTTTTGTCTCGATTTGAAGGCGCAGTCAATTCAACGGTGCATTGTTTATCCGAGTAACAGCATGCGTGAATTTCTGAATAAGAGGCCTGCAAGAGGATTATTAAGTGAGGTGTGATTAATGAGTGAGTGATCGATTGTGAGGTGCATTCAAATTATGAGATTAGAAAGATTTTATTTAAGGTAAGCAAAGAGAAGAGGTCAGTTTTTTAAGAAAGTGGAAACGGTTCTTTAAAATACTACTGATAAGGATTTGAGATATTTACGGATTCATTGAATATCTAAATCGATTAAGAAATAGTCATAGATGTGTTATGATTGATGTGCAAGATTTATTTGAATGTGCGTGTATAAATGCGTGGGTGGATGTTATTTGTTGAGGTGTGTTAATCTAATGGGTGATGAGTGATCGGTTGTGTTGTGGCGTGATCGAATTAAGTTGATGTGAGCAATTTGAAAAAAGTTGGTATGATTATTAGGGTGATATGAGCATATTATTGGCAAATATTTAGAGGTTTTCGTTGTGTTGCTGTTTTTTTAAGGGTTTGATTGAGATTATAGAAGAGATACGATCAGGTTTTATTGAAAGCGATCAGATAAGATGAATTGAATTGAATTGAATTGAATACTACTCACCTGCTCTATTCGTAACTGCCAACCAGTGCGATTACTGCGGAAATATTTACTCCTGAAATTTG